GGGGTTCACTGCCTTCACTTCTTTATTTTTATAGAGAATGTATCAAGACGGGTGGGAAAACAAGGTAAGAGGAACACCAAAAACTATAAGGTGGGTAGGAACAAAACAGAAACATTCACGGGGAGATCCCTTTACTAAAATTCGGAACAGATATTAGCCAGCAGGTGACTTAGCCACCCATCTTGCGTTAAAATCTAATTTTTGTGTCAATAGGAACTTTAATTTACATTGTGCCTCGGAAACTTCTCAATTGTTTCTGTATATGTCACCAGCTCTTTGCACTTTTAGCACTTGTGCTTTCCTTCAACAGAGAAACTTAATAACAACAAATAAATGTATTAGGCACTGCAGTTTTAAAAGAACTTCTCATTTGATTCTTTCTATATGAAGACACAAATAGAAAAATAAGATGAAACCTCTTGCAGTGACATACTTCTTAAAGGTTCTGCCTGCCATGACTTGCCTAGGATCTGTGGATCCCTGCAGTAATAAGTAAACATACAGTGACTCATTCTTTTTGTGTAACCTTTGGTAACTTGCTTCTCAACACCATTAAAAATGTAATTTTGTTCTAGAGTTTTTTCTAATTTATCACTTAACAAATGTCACCAACTGACAAGAGATTCTTAACAATATTAGAGAAATGTCAGGAGAACTGAGAGAGCTGGAGGTCTAGAGTCTTCTGCACTGTGCTGTAAATTCACTTTTCAATCTAGTTTTTCCGCTGGGAACCTTTGACATAGACCTTGCACATTGTGCATGCAAGGAAGACACAAGACAGGTTCAGATATAGCTTTGCTGATGAAAAGTTAATTATTTCAGCTTTCAGGCGTTGGACTCACTGTATGTGTTAGTCCTTAGGCATTGGGAAAGTGGAGTATCTGGTAGTGTTTGACAACATTTTTCTTCAAAGAGAATCGGTGATAAATAGGTTTATACAAGAGTCTGAATATAAAATTATGGTAGTTGTCCTGACTTACTACAGAAATATTTGTATTTGACTTTCATTTAGCTTCACTTACTTCTGCTTCCACTTCATAGTTCAGAAGTCACGAAAGTCTGAGAATTAACACCTTTTCAAGAAATTCTCAGTTAGTTCTATCATGATTTTTCAGTAAGTTAGTAAACAGAATGCAATCAAATGTATTGCCTGCAAAGTGTGTGAAAGCAAAGGGAAAAAAAACACACCAAATTGCCAATTCTATTCCCATTTATGGCCTTTAAAGTTAAATGAGGGATGTTTTACAATTCATGTTTATGGAACTCTCTTTAAGGCCCCTTTCAGATAGGTGCCTTCAGTTCCAATCTACAGAGAATCCTTGCACGGATCCCCTGCTGATTGGAACAGATGTCATCATGGTAATACTGGTGTCCGTCCAAACTCAAATGACCGGACCCATGTTGGTCTCTGAAGAATCAGATGTAAACCGACATGTGTTTACCTCAGATTACCTTTGAGCCGGCAGGGTCAGGTCAGTCAAAATGGATCTCTGATCTGTTTGGTTTTCAGGACCTGGCCAGAGTTGGGGGGAACTAGATGTAAACAGACACACGTACGTTTAGATCCGGCTGTCCCTAGACTAACATCGGGCATCCGTCCAGGTCCACCTGACAGACGGTCCTGATCAGAATGCCCGCATGAAGGGGCCTTAATCTTCAAATTATGGTATCAAATTGTTGCATCCTTAAATTGAACTGATAAAGGCGTCCTATGAACATTAGTTCGTCATGTGCCTTTACCTACTGTTGCTTAATGTCATCATGACCTAGTGAACCTACTCAAAGCAGAAGCCGCATGCACAGAGTCAATGGAGTGACTCTTTTCTTATTTCTTTCCCTTGGTGGTATAATTTACAAATATGTAATTCAACTTTAGGTGTTAAATTGTATGTTGAGGCAAAACTTTTATTTTTAAAGATTAGCACCCCTTTCAAGTTTTCTTTATTGTTTGTGTCCATGCTGGGTAGATTCACCATCTCTACCTGTCCCAATGTCCATTATCATCAAGACAGAAAGTGATAGAATAGTAAAAATGTTATAGTTGTCACTAGAAGAGGGGAGAATAAATCTTGCAATGGGGACGCCTGTTCTGGTCTAAGTGTTTCCCCTCTTAGACCAGAACAGGCATCCCCATTGCAAGATTTATTCTTCCCTCTTCTAGTGACAACTATAACATTATGAATATCCAATCACTTTCTGTCTTGATGATAATGGACATTGCCCTCATATTGAAAAGATCCTACTTCTGTTGTGTCTCTGACAAAGGAAATGAAAGGAGGTCAGTAACTCATAGCAACCAATCACATTTCACTTTTCAACCATTCTGGTCAGTCAGAATGATAACAAAATAATTGATAATGAAATAGTTGGTAACAGAATGGTTGATAATAAAACTTTAATTTTTTCTGAAGAGGTGTCCTGCTTTCTCTATCTCAGCACATGGAAGGCTGTATGATGTGTTAAAATAATACTATTTAAGGAAAAATGACAGGTCTGCAGTGTCAAATATTTCTGGACGTAAGCTTAGACCATATGGGGAATTATAACATTTCCAAGCAGTGCTGAAGGTCCAGCGGGTAGATAGAACTAACATGTTTTTCATAGATAAGAACCCATTTGTACCTTTAAAATTCCAACTTATACTTTCTGTTCCTAGCAGCCAATTGAAGATAGTTTGGAATAACTTTGGAAATAAAGTTTTATTATGTCTTTAAATTCAGAGAGAGAACCTCACAGCTTAGTTCAGCTGGTTGAGCAAATTTTATATTTTGTGTTGAACAAGCTTTCTGCGGGCTGCAGCACATTTTCACTCTATGCTATCTACAGTAATGTCAGCTTAGAATGATGGTATCTGTATAAAAGGTAACATTTCTTCCTCTTGGATGCATTTAAAAATGGCAATGAGCATTCAGGCCATACCAGGCAAAAAGATTATGTAGTTGCTGATGTCTGTTTTGTACCACTTGCTTCTCAAATTTGAAATAACATTTCAGAAAGAACAGTTTTGAAGGAATATATTAGTGCTGGTCTCTGCATTGGCACATCTTTATGGAATAGTGTGATCACATTTTGATATACTTAGGGTACTTATGATTTTAATAACATAGAGTGAATCATTTATTTGATGGTCTTAGCTATATCACTTTGAATGTTTCGGGGAAAAGTGCGTCCAAAATTGGGTTTCCTTGAGAAACGTTACAACTTGATTAGAAGAAAAATCTATAGTGTTACTTTTCAAATGATACTTATGCTGAAAAGGTTCCATGCAATGGTTTTGAGTGAATGGGGTGAAGTCAACGTGGTAATATCGATCGATTTTTCAAACGATTCTTGTCGAAGGAGTCGGAGTCGGTCCGAAAAAAATTCTTGGCCCAACAATGACTTCAGCCAATAAGCTGCAGTAACTGTTCAGGTATTCTGAACCACACACACCCACCGCTGTCAGAACACAATAGCCCAGCATGTGGAGTTTCCCCCGTCCCCACTGTTTAGTGTGGATGGGGGAATTAAGCTTTTTTATCATTCAGCCCCAAATCAGTGTATTACTTTCAGTCTCGGTGACAGGTCTAGGGTGTAAAATAAAGAAGATACACTCAACAGACTCTCGGTCCCGCGGCAATGACCGCTCACCTCTCTACCTCTTGCACTCCAACTGCGGAATGTCCCTCGCACCTCAAGTACAATGCATGTGAATGGGCGTGATGATGTCATGGTTCTTTAGACTGCTGGAGCCTGCGAGAGAAGAGGCTACAGGGACCATTGTAGCAGTCAGGTGGAACCGAGCAATCAGGTGAGTATATCTTTTTATTTTACACCCAAGACCAAAATGATCACTTAACCCTTGCAGTGCGGGGGTAGCCCCACTGCAGGGGTTATGTTTTATTCTGCTCGGAATTGTTCTTTAAGTGTTATGCCTCCTTGATCTTTGTAAGTATAGGTCTCATACAATAATGTGGGCACATGCCTGAGATGCTTCTGAGGTGCAGCCTAGAATTGGTAGTATCTTACGTATAGAAGACTACAGGACCTCTCCAAAAATAAGGAGTTCAATGGGAGATGGAGCTAGAGTTCCTGGACTTGCTAGATAGGATGAACAGAACTCAGAGTTGATTTTTAAATTATTTCACCATTGAACAGCTTTTCCAGACCCCCTGGATGTCTGATCTCAGGGAGAAGAATTAATTGGCTAAGCTTGCTGTTATCTTCACCTGAGATAAGTCATCATCGGAGATATTCTTTTCTCTCCCTCACTTCTTCATAAACATGTACAGTTAGGTGGTCCATGCATTCATGTTTTCAGAAGGATCATCTGCAAGAAAGATTATTCAGTAATCTGATCATTCTCATATATCTAACCACCATCTGAAGTTTGTGGCTCCCTGTGACTCCCTCTGATGAGTTTTGTACCTATCTGGTTACCTAATCTTGAAGACGTCCTATATTTATATTTGGAAAGAGTTGAAATTCACATGGTATAGAAAGGAAAAATGTTCACACCCAAAAAAAAAGGCAACGTAAGACAAAACTATATCATTAGTCAGTAGCATTATCCTTCCACCTGAACACATTATTAAAGTGTATGTAAAACCCAAAGGAGATTTATCCTCAATCCCGCTGACCATTGTCTCCGGTACAGAAAGTGATGAGAACGTGGAGCTGCCAGAGGAAAAATGAGGTTATGGGAAATCTTCCAATGGGGTTATCTGTTCCTCTGACAACTGACTAAGAAGGGATTGCACCTTGCTCTGGAGAGATTTTTTCCTACTTTGTCTCTGGGACAAGAAAAAAACATGACAGGGTCTTAACTACCCCATACTACAGCAAAAACTAAAAGGAAACATTTTTGTTTAGGCTAAACATCATCTGTATTTCAGGGGAGCAAAGCTATACGCACTACACTTATATATAATCGATAGAACTGCATGACACCAAAATCATATTTCTCATGTTCTATAAATGAGTTCCAAGCATATAACTATTCATTTTGTTTTTCTTTCCAGGATTAAAAAAGGAAACACAAAAAGACCAAGAAGTGGTCAAGCCGACTATATCATCCCCAAAGAAACAAGTGACAAAGCTGCATTCACCAGGTATTTATGTGTTAGATCAGCATTTCCCACCTTTTTTTCAGTCACAGCACCCTCTAAAAATATAAAACATCTTGAGGCATCCCAGTCTAAGATGTAATAGATTTTAAGAAAGGACCCCCACGCAAAAACATAAAAAAGTGGGGTTCCCCCTTCATGTCAGAGCCCCCTTTTCATCAGGAGCCCCCCCCCCCCTTCAAATCAGAAGCCCCCTCCACATCAGTCCTTAATCACCCTTCATATCAGAGTCCTACCATCCCAAGATTTTGAGGCACCCCTGAGGAAGTCAAAAGGCACCCCAGGGTGCCATGGGACACTGGTTGAGAAAAGCTGTGTTAGATATTTTAGCACTTATAATATTTCTTAGTGCTGTAGGTGATTGTTTGTAATGAGTTCAATGAAATGGCCAGCAGCTAGCCATCAAAGAGTAAATAATAAAAATTTACACAAATAGCAGTCCTAGATATAAAACTAACATACAAGGAAATTGCATAAAAATTAAATAAGAAAAGTATGTATTAAATAGGTGTAAGTGTATGTGATATGTGTATAATATATTTATCTGTGTTCAAAGTCTGTGTGTGTGTGTGTGTGTGTGTGTGTGTCATAGTAGAAAGATAGCATTCCTAACATCTATGACTTATACACTTCTAAATACTCTCAATAGTCTCAAAGTCTAGCTTGCCTGTCTTTAACTTGATTGATGAATGCCTTAATTGTAAATTTTAGGATAGAGGATAAACAGGATTATAGGATTATATATAAGATCTTTCTAGACATATGCAAAATAATGTATGTTTTTCACATAGACTGTGTACTTTCCCAAATTATTCAAATACACAAAGCTATAGAAATCAATAATTTTGGATATTTTTAATTCATATATAATCCTGATATAAATAATACCCTAAAAACATAATTAGTATTATTAGCAAAGTGTATTCTAACATTTCGTTACTGGCTGCTAATGCTGTCACATGATTACAGGGATTTCTAATATGACTAGAAAATCCGTGCCCATCCATGAACGAGTTAGTTGAGGTTTAATGTCTTTTAGCATCTAAGTGATTCATAAAATGCTGATTATACATTCCTGCCCAACCAGACAGAATTGTAGTCTGGCATGTATAATTTGGTCAAGGGTGTTACCTTCCTGGAAGTTAGGAAATAGGGGAGGCAGAGTGTAATACAGGGTCAAGTGAAAGAGTGGAGGAACAGAGGGGAGGTTGTACCAGTGGAAGAAAGAAGGAAGTCGGATGTGACTGAGGACAAGGGATAGAGAAGTTGGAATGTGATCCAGTTGTGGTCCGCGGGAGATTAGGAAAAAAGGGGCTGAGTATTGTTTTGGTGGGCAAAGAGGAAGAACATTTTTGCTGGGGAAGAGGAAGTTCGAGTGAGAGTGGACAGGGTAGAGAGAAGGCAGAGTGGGAAGTTATTGTTCCTGAGAGGTGCAACGTAAAGAGGAGCATCAGCTTCCACTTGGAGATGAGGAAGAGGAGAACCTCATTAAGGAGAGGAAAGTAAATAAAGAGGAGGCAGAGAAGGAACTTATAATAGTGATGCCGTATAGGAGAAACCATGAGGCTGACAAGTAATTTAGGTGCGTATACCAGTTGCAATTAAAAATACATTGAGTCGATCTTTACAGTTAAAAAACATGTCCAACAATCTCATAAACAAAAAGTAATCTGAAGGTCTGCACGTTGAATATGGGATGTATATGTGGGGCCTCATTAGAAAATGGACATAAAAGAAGAGGCTTGATTAATTCAGGAAAATACTGATGCCAGTTTAAATATTAGATTAAATAGAATCTCTACCATGAGCCACACACACACAATAAGACACTAACAGCTGCACATGAAGGAAGCCAGGTTTACTACCAGTGTAGAAAAGGGAAAGGGGTTCTTTACCCAAGACCTTGCTTGCACTGGATGCTGAAGAGCGGAGTGTTTATACACGCAATGTTCTTCTGGTGGCTGGATGTTCCCAATCCTAAAGATAGCATTACAATAGCTTTGCCACAACATCCTGCCCTACCCCACTCACAAAGTGAGAACTGCCCCACTGATCTCAGTACACAGTTTTGTACCTGGTGTTTAGGCTGGATTCACACCTGGGCGTACCATAGGTGCGTTTTTTCTGCTAGTTTTTTGCGCTTTTTTAGCACGTTCAGTGAAATGCGCGTTCGTTGCTCGTTTTTATACCTCCCTGGCGGTATGATTTTTTGTTTTAACTTTATTTTCTCTATTTTTTTAAAAACTTTCAAACTTCCTTCTGGTTCCGCCCCCCTGCAACGCGGCCGCTCGCAAGGGACGGAACCCGGAAGTCGGCAGCGGCCGGAGGACACAGTGGGGGATCGTGGACAAGGTAAGTCCTACGCTGTATTCCCGAGTGTGGCTCGGGGTTACCGCTTTGTTAACCCCGAGCCACAGTCGGGCTTTTTT